TAGTGATGTTAACACAGCATATCGTTTGTGAACACTCCAGCCGGTCAGTTTTTGGTTGTCATGGTAATGTATTACGTCCGACTATTAACCACATACGGCAGTTAAAACTGTCTGGAGGGGGCTTTAATGTTTTGCTATTGTTCAAGTTATTTAACATTTATTGTGGCAAGAAAACTTTTAGCAAATGCTTTCAAAAAGTGGTGGGGACATGTCCCCAGCGTCCCCAGTGTAAATGACACCTATGTTGATCCAGATAAAAGCAGCCGTAGATACAGCTTTAACATGCTCTGCTGTCCAGTCTTTCTGGCTACGTATAATCTGATTTCAGCTATGTTAACACCAAATACAGTGTATGATTAACACACAGTTAAAAACGGGGACATTTCCGGGGACAGCTTCAGATGGGGACAGACCACCAAAAGCGGGGACTGTCCCCGGAAAACGACGTCTGGTCACCCTACATTATGTCTGCTGGTGATCTGTCTTCGTTGCTAACAATTTGTAAATTCTGAGATGCAGCTATGAATCAATTTAGTTTCTACGTCCTGTTAGCTAAGAGTTAGCTTCTAGGTTTTGCCCCCACTGGCTCCAAGCAACTAGACCCAGCTGACTACAGAATCGGTTGGTGACTAGCTTGTTAGCTAGCTTCCAGTCTTTGTGCAAAGTTAGGCTAAACACATCCTGGACCTGGATCCTTGTTATGGACACACAGAGATGCTGATATTCATCTGGACACAAGGTTTCACTAAATGTTGAGGTACATAACATCATTTTTAAATCATAGACTGAATATTCTAGCTTCCATACACTCAAATCTGTTCAAAGATTAATTTTAATACGCCCTTCTTTAGGACGGTTTCACCCTGCCAACATTCCTGTAGGCTATATAATTCTGGTAAGATAATGCATTCACATCTTGACTGTTTACAGGCACATATTTCATGTTGAATCAGTCATATTTCAGTCAGTCAGTGACACCATCGGTAACATCTGGAAGTCATCATCACTCTCCCAGACTTTCTGCCAGCTGCATGTTTCTATCAACCTGCTTCTTGTTTACATTCTGATACTCATGCTTGGCTTTCTCCTGCTGCTCTCTACTTTCTCATTTTTGTCTATTTCATGTTATTATTTACAATTGTTTTCTACATTCCTGAATAAAAACACTGCAAACTATTTTCCATCTCTGAGTCCATTTCACCCGTTTCTAATTCAGCTAGTTTCAAGAATCAACCGATGCTGGCCAGAGCTTTTACACATCCATAAATACATAATAAACATATATCCAACTAATATTAAGGTCTCCATGTGCTTCAAAAGAAGTGCTTGTAGGATCATCAAAAGGCCCAGTCACAAAAAGTAGGTTTTGTAGTTAAATGTCTGACTGAAATTTTATTCTATCTGAATTATTAGATTAATACGGATGCATCATGTTAGCTTTTACTTCTTTACAGTTAGCAAATTTTACTACATTATACACAGTGTTGGGAGTAACGTGTAACAAAAGTAACGCAATTACAGTAATGTGTTGGTTTTTGCTGTAACACAGTAATATAACGCATTACTAAAAGAAAATCGGTAATATTATACCCGTTACAATCTCAGTAACGTGCGTTATAACAAATTTTTACCCAAGAGCTCGGCTCCTCTTAACAAGATGGTAGCTCCCCTGATGAATCATGCGTCAATAGATTTCTAAAAGCTATGTTTTTGTGCTTTAACAAACTGCTTTCATGATCAGAGAGGCTGCTGTCAGTTCATCCTGATCGATCCTGTTGGAGAGTCGGGAGACTAAAATAATTAATGACGTTATGCTGCTGTACCTCGTGCGTAAATGCGCGAGGGTCTTTCTTAATGGGGAGACGATTCATGCTATTTCTTTCTCCCCACCCCCACTCCCCCGGAGTTATTAATCAGAAGGTTAATATTATAACAAAGACTAGCTAACTGTGTAGATATACAGTTAGCAAGTTTATATACAGTAAGCTAGTTTTACTACTTTATATAGAGTCAGCTACTTTTACTACTTTATATACAGTCAGCTAGTTTTACTACTTTATATACAGTCAGCTACTTTTACTACTTTATATATAGTCAGCTAGTTTTACTACTTTATATACAGTCAGCTAGTTTTATTACTTTATATACAGTTAGCTAGTTTTATTACTTTATATACAGTCAGCTACTTTTACTACTTTATATACAGTCAGCTAGTTTTACTACTTTATATACAGTCAGCTAGTTTTATTACTTTATATACAGTCAGCTACTTTTACTACTTTATATACAGTCAGCTAGTTTTACTACTTTATATACAGTCAGCTAGTTTTATTACTTTATATACAGTTAGCTAGTTTTATTACTTTATATACAGTCAGCTACTTTTACTACTTTATATACAGTCAGCTAGTTTTACTACTTTATATACAGTCAGCTAGTTTTATTACTTTATATACAGTCAGCTACTTTTACTACTTTATATACAGTTAGCTACTTTTACTACTTTATATACAGTCAGCTAGTTTTATTACTTTATATACAGTCAGCTACTTTTACTACTTTATATACAGTCAGCTAGTTTTACTACTTTATATACAGTTAGCTAGTTTTATTACTTTATATACAGTCAGCTACTTTTACTACTTTATATACAGTTAGCTACTTTTACTACTTTATATACAGTCAGCTAGTTTTATTACTTTATATACAGTCAGCTACTTTTACTACTTTATATACAGTTAGCTACTTTTACTACTTTATATACAGTCAGCTAGTTTTATTACTTTATATACAGTTAGCTAGTTTTATTACTTTATATACAGTCAGCTACTTTTACTACTTTATATACAGTTAGCTACTTTTACTACTTTATATACAGTCAGCTAGTTTTATTACTTTATATACAGTTAGCTAGTTTTATTACTTTATATACAGTCAGCTACTTTTACTACTTTATAGTTAGCTACTTTTACTACTTTATATACAATCAGCTAGTTTTATTACTTTATATACAGTTAGCTAGTTTTATTACTTTATATACAATCAGCTAGTTTTATTACTTTATATACAGTCAGATAGTTTTAACTACTTTATATTCAGTAAGACGATGGATTTTATTAATTTTATTGATTGATGATTTTATTATAATTATAACTTGGAGATGATTTTTGCAGTGCTGTGGAGCTTTTACTCCTGAACTGGTTTGAAAGTCACATTTGACCAAAATCTCAGTAGACTGAGATCTCAAACACCTTTTCTATCTCTTAAAATAATAAATCTTAACATTCTGGGATGAACATGACTTTTATGATCAACTTTTTATCAACTGGTGTGAAGATAACGCATGTGCTCGTTATTGTGAGATTGTCTATTTATCACCCACCTCTACTATCTAACAGATCTTGAACCTGTGAGGCGTAACAGAACGTCTCATTCTTGTGGAGAAACAAGAAGAAAATTAGCATAACATCGAAGCGTTACTGTCTCTGCAGGCAGAAAATTAGCATAGGCCTACATACAGTTAGCTAGTTTTACCTAATTTATATGCAGTTAGCTAGTTTAGTCCACTGGCTCCGAACGTAGGGGTAGGGCCCCTCCAAAGTGCCACTAGATAAATCTGAGGGGTGCTGAGATGATTAATGGAAGAGGAAAGAAGAAGAAACACTTTGTGTTCCACAAATGTGTAGTTTTGTTTGTAGTGGATCATTTTAGTGAAATCTTGGCCAGTCTTCCACTTTTCCTATTTGGTACTCCATCCGCACACACAATCACACAATCACACACACACAGTTACTCTATGGTTACATAATGAAGAAATACAATCAGTTTCAGTTCTCCCTCTCTCTCTCTCTTGCAGAGTTCAGTCTGTTTAAACATCATTTCATCCTGTCAGGAGGGTTGTGAAGCAGCAAAGGTTGGTCAGTGTGCTCACGGACTCTGCTGTTCATCCTGGAGATGAAGAGAGGCCGTCTTCCACACTGACACTCCTCTGCACTAATATACAAAATCACTATATCAATACTACCACCTCACAGTATAGTGAAACCTGTGGTGCAGCTACTCAGCTATCAAACACATTTAAATTACTTTACTAATTTCAACACGGGCCATCTGGAGTACGAGCTCAGCAGCTGTGTTACAGTAGAAATATCATGAAAATAACATTCAGATCAGAGTTGGCAGATACCCAAAGTTAAAAAATGTAATCGGGACGTTCCTACTTCTGAGTGAACCCTCACATAAAGAAGCTCTGGTTTGGGGGCCCCTGACCATTTTGACCCCTGGCCTTGTACCCAGTGGCCTACACTCATTTAGCGCTGAACCCCAAACCCTCCCATATATACAGATGACCCACTCTACTAGATTATTTAGAGCAAAAAGAAGCAGTAGAAGAAGAAGAAACAGGTTATTGATTTCACAACCATTGATCCAAAGGGGACAAAAGTGCAGCCGGCTGCACGACGGGAAGCTGCTGCGACTCCTGGAGTGATTGACAAGAGATCCTCCAGTTTTCTGATGTTTTTGAAAGATACAAAGCAGGAAAACTTTGCCCAGGGGATGATTTTCAATAGATCTGTCGTCTATAACTTAGACGTCTGAATCAAGTATGTGAATAAAACTTTTAAGTTTGATGGTCCAAAACCTAGAGGAGGTTTATTTGTGAAGATCTGCCTGCAGGCATCGACACATAAAAATATATTAAACTTACAGATGTTTCTGAACCAAATATGAATCTAAAGTTGCCTGTGAAAATGAAATGTTTTAAAAACTTAAATAATTGTGACTTCAGACAAATAAATAAAGGAAGCAAACAGGGAATGGAATCCAATAAAAACACCAAACCCACAATATCTGATAAAACAAGCTCTTTTATTATAATAATTCAGATTTTTTGGTATTTCATATATATATATATATATATGTGTATATATATATATATATATATATATATACACATATATAGGCTTATTGTACAATTGAGACTTTGAAACAAACAAACAAAAGTGCTTCCTTTTTCCTCACTGACACAAATCATCATCTTTAAAAAATCTTCCTCAACAGAGCGATGATGAGCAGATCAGCAAGAGGTCAAAGGTCATCTCAGAGGATCAGAAGGCACTGTTTGTGTGTGTGTGTGTGAGAGAGATGATTCAACAGACTAAAAGAGGAAGAGACACGTTGCATAACCCTTTTCACATTTCGTTTTTTGTTTGTTTTTCTCTCTAAATCAGTTACACATAAATACACAAATGTAGAGCGAGGCGTGTTTCTTTTCAGATCAGTACCCATGTGTCAAAGACAACAATGTGCTTCATTTGACAACAAATAGTGCATACGACAAAGCTGCTTTTACTGCTGCTGTCCTCTGAAAAAACCCTCAGGTCTCCAAGTTTGCAGACTCTGTCAAAAGATGCAATTTTCTGCAGTTTTCATTTTTCTTTTATATTTTTAAAAAAATGTATTAATAAAGCAGCTTTAAACAAACAAGCCCTGCAGGTTTGGAGATATCTGGTTTTCAGCGGACAGTGACAGGATGAAGCAGGTACCACAGGTTCAATTCCAGTCTTTTTTGTTTGTTTGTGTTTGGATTTTTCACTTTGGCATTTAATCACCAGACGCAGAGCTGGACGGCGATAACTCAGTTATTATTATTCATACAGGCGACAAGCACTGTATTTCCACAATATCAACTTTTAGGGAACAAAAGGAGAGAAGATGAGCGGGAAGACGATCCATTTTATGGAGTCATAATTCAAACTTAGAGAGGCTTTTTGCAATGCTTTGGAGCTTTTACTCCTTAAAACAGTTTTAAAGTCACATTTTACCTAAATCTGCAGCAGACTGACATCTCAAACACCTTTTCTGTCTCTTAAAACATTAAACTTTCACAACTTTTACCATCAACTTTTTATCAACTGTTGTGTAGATAATGCATGTGCTCATTATCGTGAGATTATCTATTTATCACCCACCCGTACCATCAAACAGATCTCAAACCTGTGAGGCGTACCAGAGCGGGCCGACGGCCCTGAGCCTTATTCATGTGGAGAAACAAGGAAGGAAGGAAGGAAATGAGCATAACATCGACGCATTACTGTCTCTGCAGGCAGAAAATTAACATACATACAGTTTAGCCTATGCAAGCAGTGTGCACTTTGCATTTCATAGCTCTATAAGACAAAATCTAGTTCATCATGTGGTAACTTATATAAACCAAAGAAAAAATACTTAAGGAAAAACATGCACAACAGGCTGGTTTGGGATCACCCCCTCCATGCCCTACCTTAGCTGCACTGATATGTGAGTTGAGTGTGTCGTGCACTCAGTCTGTATGGAAGTAAGGCACAAAAACAACCAGTCCTCTGTGTCTGCAGCGAGAACGAGCTTATCGGCTTTTCACAAAAGTTTTAAAAGGCACATGAACACCGCAGAAAATACAGTCTGAACAAGTGGGTCTGTCTCTGAGTCCACACAGGACAGGTGAAAAGTGATCAGCCAATGAGATGAGGGTGAAATTAAATCACCTGCTTCCAGTAAAAATGTGTCCAGTTTCATCATCTGTCACTTTTTTTCTAGAAAACTCTTGTAACAGGAGAAACTGGCTCACCTGTTGGCTTCAGTGTCCTTGTGTTACATAAAAACTCTTACAGGTTCAGGATGTTGGTCTGCAGATGTTTTTCACTTTAATATACAGAAACACTTGCAGATGTTTTCTTATGTTTTAAGAGGAAAGAGTTCCGGACCCGTTAGAGACCAGATGAGTTCTTTAGACGGATCTTTTTGCAGTGAACGCTTCAGCTGCCTCGGACTCCTCTCAGTCTCCCCAGACAGGTGAAGACATGTAGAGCCGTTTGTGTGAATAAATCCAGCAGTGTACCATTCCATCTGAAGTCTGGTTCCAGTCCGGGTCTGCAGTCTCTCAGCTGCCCATGGGTTTGAAGGATCCGTCCGGCAGCTGTCTGAAGATGCCCCGTAACGTGTCCAGCTCGCGGGTCAGGTGCTCCACCCTCCGCCTCAGTCTGTCGTTGTCGGTGGTCAGCTCCACCACCTTCTGCTGCGTCTCTATGTTGCGGATCTTGGCCTTGTCCCGGCTCTTGCGCACGGCCACGTTGTTGCGCTCGCGCCTCAGCCGGTACTCCGGGCTGTTCTTGTCGACGTGCTTCTTGTGTTTCCCGCCTCCCCGTTGGTGCTCCAGCAGCTTCATGCCGCCCTGCTGCTGGTGCTGGTGCTGGTGCGGGTGTTGGTGATGGTGGTGGTGCTGGTGGGGGCTGGGCACCGGGGTCGGCGGAGGGGTCGGGTGGCCCGGCTGGAGGTGCATGGTGGTCTGCGCGCAGTGCGCAATCTGGTACTGGAGGTGTGGCTGCTGCTGCTGCTGCTGCTGGGAATGCTGGGAATACTGCTGGGAATGCGGGTGCGGGTGGTGGTATGTGGGAGGCATGCCCGGGTTCAGGTCCTCGTCGTCCCGGGGCTCCTGCTTGATGGCCACCGGTCGGATGCGCGGCGGGTTGTGCTCGTAGAGCGGCTCCAGCTTGGACTCCATGTAGTTGGACATGTAGAGCTGCTGGGACCCCGGGCCGCACGTCACCGAGTCGTACTCTCCGTTCATGATCTTGAGCTTGTCCTGCCGGGAGCTGTGGTGGAACAGGTCAGCCAAGAAGTCGTCGTTGAAAGCCGACGGGTCGATGTAGGCGCTCAGGTCGATGGAGGTCTCGCTGTCTCCGATCTCACCGCCGAGTTCGGCCGGATCTCTGTAGCCGGAGGAGGGCTGCTGGCCGTGGCTTAGGCTGCTCATCAGGGGCCGGGGCGCGACCTCATACAAGTTAGAGAGCTCCATGGAGAATCTAAACCCGGGCAGACATGGCGAGGAGCTCCGGGAATCCAGTTTGGTGAAAGTCAAATACTGTGTCGGGTCCCCAGGTGAGAGGGGGGGGGCGGGGGCTGTAAACCTGCAGACACGCGCTGAGCGCTGCTTGAGCTCGGGGAGAGTGAAACGGGTCTGACTTCTGATCCAGAGCAGAGAGAAGCGGAGTGAAGCGGCTTAAAGCTGCAGGGAGTCGGTCTGATTCCTCATGCTCAGTAAACTCTGAGCTGTCAAACTGCGGTTATATAGGCAAGCAGGAGGCAGTGGGCGGGCGCACACACACACACACACACACACACACACACACACACAGACACAGACACACACAGACACACCACAGTCCAGGATTTAACCCACTAGCACGACACAGAGACGCTTATCGGGGGAAAACTAATTAAAATGTTAATTACACCCCGCGTGAAGCCCCTTGCTGCAGAAGTCCGTTTGGATATCATCTGCAACCAAACTCGTGTCAAAACGTTTATCACACATTAAAATATATATAAGTAGTTATATAGTTATATATAGTTTATATATATATATAAACTTTTGTCTGACTCTCAGTCTACAATTAGGCAAAAAAAATCTAATGCACAAATCATCGCTTTTCGCTTTTTTAACGACACATTTCAACCTGCAGGCGGAGTCCGCTGACTCACGCGTGCGCCTCGAGCGCGCTCCGCGCGGGGCTTCAGTGGGACATGTTCCAAAGGAAAGGTGACAGAACAAAATGCCGTTGTTAGAGGGAATGAACAGGCTTTATATTTTAGTGTGAGAAATCTCCGCCTGGAGGCGATGCCACATTAAACTCACACATTTCTGAACGGAGTTTGGAATGAGGGAGCGGCGCGGTGCCTGTTGGGTTCTTACACTTCTGATGCCTCCTCTGTCTGTAAGTCGGTGACAGAAAGGAGCTCTGACGGCCCGAGGAAGCTTCACACACTCCTACACCTACATGTTCTGTGCAGTCCAAACAGTCATTAACACACTCGTTATAAGACCCGAAACCAGAAACCGAACCGAACCAAAACATATTTCTGAACTGTAACAGGACTGTCAGCTGTGTAATGCAACAGCACTTTAATTTGCACTAAAAGGTGATTTAGTGAAATGCACAGGAACCAGCTCTGGGTCATTTAAACATTAATTGACACACAGAGCAGATAAGGAGCGGGGTCCCTGCAGGGGTAACAGGGGTAAGGAGGTTCATATCAGGGCTGGGAGGTTATTCAGGTTGAGTGTGGCAGAGCCTGAACACGCGGGCTGCAGCGCCCTCTGTCGGCTGGAAACACGCTGCAGATGTTCTGTGGAAGGGCCCTTTTCCCTCGAATTATTTATTTATTTCCTGTTTGGATTCTCTGCGTTTCCATCTGCTGCTGCAGGGAAGTCTTTCACCATCGCTGCTCCGAGTCCAACAGCGTGCATCCTTCAAGAGCTCCTGGGGTTAATCTGAGAAGTCCTTGAGGAAAATCCAGCAGTCCTTGAGGAAATTAGTTGACTAACATTTAGTGCTGATGGACACTTTTGTCCTGGAGTTTAAAGCTGAAGAGAAGCGGAGGAGCTCACAGCTGGAAGAAGGTGAAAAAGAAATGTTGGACAGTCGTGAGACAGCTTTAAGAGGTTCCAATGTCCAGGGGTCCTTGAAGAGGTGCTAGGGGCCCATAAGTTGGTTATATGGGTCCTTGAGGAGTTTATAAGTCTTGGAAACGAATGTTTTAAACAGTTCAAGGTTTTGTTGAGGAAGTTCTGGAGATCATTGAGGAAGATCAAAGTGTCCTTGAGGGAGTTTAAAGGGTGTTTGAGGGTATTTTTTATGTCTGATGGAGAGGTTCACTGGGTCCTAGGGGGATTTTCAAGGATCCAAGGAGGTTCTGTGGATTGTGAAGATGTTCTGGTGGTCCTGAAGTTGTTTCTTAAAGGTTTGCAGGAGGTTCAAGGTGGTATTTGGGGAAACCTGGAGATCACAGAGGAGGCTCGTGGGTTAATTGGAGAAGTTCTGGGTTCTTGAGAAGGTTTAAGGGTTTTGGGGACATTTTTAAAAATGTTTTAGGTATTAATAAGGCAGTTCAATGCATACTCAAGGATGTTCTACAGATCTTGAGAAGGTTCAGGAGTCACCAAGGAGGTAGCAGTAGCACTGGAGGACATTTAAGGGTCCTTAGAGAGATTGTTATGGCTGATGGATATCACTGGGTCCTTGGGGGATTTTCAAGGGACTAAAGGAGGTTTTTCTGGATTTTGAAGATGTTCTGGTGGTCCTTAAGTTGTTTCTTTTAGGTTTGCAGGAGGTTCAAGGGGGTAATTGGGGAAACCTGGAGATCCTTAAGGAGGCTTGTGGATTAATTTAAGAAGTTCTGGATCTTTGAAAAGGGTTTTCGGGACGTGCTCCTTAAATCCTTCAAGGTATCAATTAGGCAGTTCAAGGCATGCTCACGGAGGTTCTACAGATCTTGAGAAGGTTCAGGAGTCACCGAGGAGTTTGCAGTAGCACTGGAGGACATTTAAGGGTCCTTGAGGAAATTTGTGAGGAAGTAAAAAGCAACAGAAATAAAGAATCTACTCACAGCTGAAGAAAAGAAAAAATGTCCAAACAGCTCAGAAAGCTGAAAACATTAAACTTTTGAAGTCGTCACTTCCTGCACAAAATCAAAGCAGAGGACAGATTATCGCTCCGACGCCTTCAGGACTCCACAGTGACAGCAATCACTCAGACAGGGCTGACCTTTGACCTCTCTGACTGACTTATCCAATCCGACAAAACAGGCCTAGACAGATGTACCCCAAACAGACATGTACGAAGTCCAGCGTCAGGCGTATGGGACCTTAAGTCATGTGGCGTTTCACTCGTGGTTAGCGTTGTGAACCCGTCATAGCTTGAGGTTCCTAAAAGATGGTGATTCCTTCCTTAAAATAAGTAAATCACGTAAGTCACCTATGTAACGTTATTTAACTATAAAACTTTAAATAAGTCACTCGGGACTCGAACCCCCGGACTCCTGTGTTGTGGCTCTGCGTCACCTGACTTCCTGATAACTACAGACCGACTGTGGTACTTTATCCTGCGTTTAAACACTCACAGTCGTCTGTATTTTTCAGAAATGCTTCATGAACACGTGAATAACTTTCTATTTAAAGCTCTTTGCGGTCTTTGCACCACAGCTCACTGAAGCACTTGGACTTGCTGTTGGAAGGTACAGCTGACCTGTGTGGGTGCAGCCGATCGCTGTTGACCGCTGCTTGAACTAATGACTCATGTTGTTGAATTCCCAGAGCGGTTCAGCAACACGCTGACCTGACGGAGGTCCAGATCTGGAAGTCTGGACACAAAGAAACACATGAAAGATCAGATCAGAGCCACATGTGGTGGTTTGAAATGTGATTCCAGTCAGATTCTGCGGATGCATCTCAGCCTGACACTCTAAAATCGTGGCGTGGTGGTGAACAATCTGGTACTGACCAGCGAAGAACACAACACCCTTGCTTACCTGCTGTAATGTGAACACGCCTGAATGCAGGTGTGAATTTCCCCTTCAATTCAATTCAGCTTTATTGGCATGAATGTAAAACAAGAATATTGCCAAAGCTACAAATAAATTACAAAATTCATTTCATACATTTCATTAAATAAGTAAATAAAAGTTAAGTAAAAGTTTACAAAAAATAAATTAAAAATAAATATAAAAAAAAATAAATAAAACAGTGTGTTTCTTAAAAAAATAAAAGGTAATATATTAAAAATTAAAATAAAGTATCAAACGTGAAATAAAAAAAAAAGGATTATTTAATATATTTAGTCTGAGTTTCCACTGGTTGTCCTCCGTGGCTCGAGGACCATCCATCTGTGAGAGGAGAAGCTGGTAATAAAGAGATAAATAAAATAAAAAGAGAAGTGATGAAATCTGAAACCAATCAGAGCTTTGGAGGCGGGGTTAAGAATCACCTTCCTGTCGTCAGCAGCTGCACGTCCACGCACAGAAACAGGGTCAGGGTCAGTTTACTCGCCACGGTTCGTCCTCCTCAGCCTGTTTGACGTCCGCTGTGTCACTGGAGGAGAAAATAACCCTGATGATGTCATTGTGATGTCATCAAGGTTATCTCAGTTTGGAGACGCAGCCCTGTGTTGGTTATGGTGAGAAGATGAGATCTGATCCAGAGGTCTGAGTAACAGACTCATGACACACACGTTTAGACACTCGGACAGGATGTTACAGATATTTTATCTTTCGGCGTGACGATCATGAGGCGAGCAGCAGAAACTCAGCGTTCACGTTACTTCGCGCTGCAGCAGACGATAAACTGGGATCTCTCCACCGCTGCTGCACGTGTTTTTGAAAATTAACTTAACTGCATGTTCACGGCGGAGAGTCACTGAGAAAGAAAGAGACTTGATTTCAGATTTATCCTCAGCGGTGTGGACGTGGCCTCCGGCTCCATTAAAACTTCGGCTCCGCCTCCCGTCCAGACTGAAACGTTGAAGTGTGAAAACGCTGCTGACCTCGTTTTGTGTTTTAAACTCTGCCGTAGCGTGCTGACAGGTGAAAATGATGACGCAGACGCTCACGTTCGGCTGCTGCTGATGCTGAGTTTTAGTTTTGGTGTTTTTATTCAAATATTTTGTACTGTATAAATACTCTTATACTGTGTGTGCCTCCCTATTTACTTTGCACATGCCCGGTGCGTGTGAACGGACACGTGATTGCCGTTTTCAGTAGTTTTAATATAGACGGAGGTCAATTCTGATACGCAGATAAAACGCTTGTGCGTTGACGAAAATCCAGTTTTAACAATTCACTGCCATTTCGTAGAGCGAGCCGCTCAGCGCTGTTCAACGTGTCGCATGTCCAAACGTGACGCTGCACTCCCTTCAGTCCGCACCCGTGTGAAGTCTATTAGATTTAATGGAAACGCTGACACGCACACACTTTATTAGAGAGATAACGTTTTTCTTGAACCTTATCAAATGGATTTGTTGCCTAAACAAACCAAACTACCACCGCTTCACAACATTTCTTCGTGTTAAATGTCAGGTGACTTATGTAACGTACTGAAGGTCCGGCGCACAAACACTCGTACATGTCGTGTTGGGAAACGTGACAATCGAACCGCTTTGTCATTTAGGTCTGAGGACGTGTTGTTTTAAAGCCTTGTACATTTCAGAACTACTCTGGCCTCTTGGATCCTCAGAACAACTGTTTTAACTGTCCCAGGGTCGAGTCTGGCGGTGTCACACTGTGGGGGTGTCTACTCTGTTTAGTTAGTTTGTCCCGGGGTCGAGTCTGGCGGTGTCACACTGTGGGGGTTTCTACTCTGTTTAGTTAGTTTGTCCCGGGGTCGAGTCTGGCGGTGTCACACTGTGGGGGTGTCTACTCTGTTTAGTTAGTTTGTCCCGGGGTCGAGTCTGGCGGTGTCACACTGTGGGGGTGTCTACTCTGTTTAGTTAGTTGTCAGTCAGTTTGGTTATTTTGTCTCTGTTTTGGGTCTCAGTCGTGTCTGTTGTGTGTAGTTTACACTGTGTTCCTGCTTGTTGGTCTGATGTTGTCTGTGTGTCTTGTTGGGGGGGGTCTGTTTGTGTAATTCTGGGCTGATCTGTTTAGTGTCATTATTATTCTGACTTTGTTCGTTCTCGTTATTCAGTTTATTATTTCAGTCTGTCCTGTTTTAGTTTTGCCCTATTATGTTTAGTATATTATGTCGGTTCCCCCAGCAATTCTTCTGCCTGCTTTTCTGCTAAGTGCGTTGAGTTCCAGTTAGTGACCTGTCTTGTGTTTTAGTGTCTGTCGTCTGTTAGTATCTGTCAATACTCCCCTGCTGTCACTCTACCTTTCTGGGTGTCTTTCACCTGTGGATCCCCTCCCAGCTCATCAGCCCACGTGTATATATGCTTCCTTCTTTCCTTAGGCTGCCCCCGGTCATTGTGGCTTGTATTGTTCTGTCATGTCGTGTGCAAAGCCTCTGTCTGCCTGTGCCTATGGGTTTTCTGTGGAATTACTCTGTTCCTTTGGGATTATTTTGTTATGCTGGATTCATCGGATGCAGCCGCTAGTAAGTGTGCTCGCTTTATGTTAAATAAACCTTTTGAACCGTACCTGCTCTGCTCAGTGTCCTGCATATGGGTCCACCAACCTTCAACCACCACATCGTGACAGGTGGGGACGGGAGATCGTGTCTCTGGAACAGCCTTCTGCTTTTCGATCCGGCCTTTGCGTCACTCTTCCTCTTAGCGGGTATTTGAATAATATATAATCTTCTTATAAAATCAATGTTACAAGGTGTATTCAGTTTCTGTGGGCATATTTTAACACTGCAAAGTTAAAGTTTGCCATTCATCCAGATTCAAAGTGTCCACAGGGATGAGATGTCACAGTGCCAAAAACAAGATTGCATTAAAGAACTAACAAGAAAAGATACAGCACAGTAACACCAGAGGAGACAGAAGAGCAGATCTCTACCTGAGTGAACACAGATTGGATGGAGCACCAGAAACTGCCTTTATTGTAGTTGTGCCTTTTTGCTACTGATGTGCAGCACCGTGGTCCCGGAGAGCAGCTACTTCAGCAACGTGGTGATTTAGCACATTTGCTTTCACCTGTAAAACTATATATTTTTAGAAAAAAAGTTTTTTTCACCTTGATGTAATGCCTCACCTGAAGGGTGGAGTCAGCTAAAAGGGGCCAAATACAATTGGAGCGCTTCAAAGTTTTACAGCCAAACACAATTACTGACCCTGCATTGCTGCTACAACATTAGCTGACATGTAACAACAGTTTTGATTGGTCTGATGTTTCTCTGGTGGGTGGGGCTGAGGGTCACTGAGCTCAACATAGTGAATTAAATTTCACTTATCGCTATGATAAAGCTATTACAGGGAAGCTCACCAACAAAGTTTAAATGTTTATAAAAGATGTTTTAACGACTCTTTCAAATAAAGAGTTGAAATTCGTAAAGAGACTTTAAATCTTTGAAAATTGTCATTTCAGGTACTTTTATAGCTAAAGCAGTGAGTTAAAATGGGCCACATACACACTTTAACACAGAGGTTACACAGAAAGTGAGGCTGCAAAACAGGTTCACAGGTCTGTACATATATATCCATACAACACCTAAAGTCTTAAACTAGTTTACACACAGACACACGACAACACCATCAGTTCATGTTTAAATGCATCTTTCAATGAAAGATGAACTTTTTATTGCATTAAATGTACAGTGTTGTTGCTGCTGCACCAAACACACTGTAATGTCAGTTTAATGCTGAAATTAAAATGATTTCAGCTAAAAGGACTGAACATGTTCTCTCTTTTCAAGAGATGTTAATTTAACATATTTTAGAGACCGATGCCAATTTATAAAAAGATATCATTAGATCTCACACATCTTATAAGTCATTTATTAAAAAGTGGTTCATTTTCTAAATGTTAATAAGCTGTTTATATCTAAAGTATTTTAAGGCTGTACAAAGGTGGTTATTCTATAATTGATAGTAGTGTCGGTATTTCGGGTATTATTAGTTTCACTGTGACTGAATTTCATCATCCGCAGATGAAGTCATGCTTCATCAGCCTCATATTACATAAACAAATCAACAGAAAACAGCTCGCTCCTATTGGTCGAATGAGATGTCAATCACAGAGTGCATTGCATCACTTTGCCGCACACTCGCCTGTCATTGGCTACTCTCTCGCTCCGCTGCCTCCCACTCGCCTCTGATTGGCTGACGCCTGACATTGCCGTACATGGTAAAAGAGATTTCGCAATCGGCTCTCTTCCATGTTCTAAACAAAAACAGTCGGAGCTCAAACACAGACGGAATTAAACTCCAACTTTCTGCGTTAACTTTCTCCACTTTGACGGATGGTCGACTCCACCGCCGCCCCGTGAAGGTAAACTGTGTTTTTAAACTGTTTGTGTGTCGGAAAGCGGAGCGAGCTAACAGAGAGCTAACGGCTCGTTAGCACCAGGAGCTAACTAGCTGGCTAGCTGCCCGGCTAAACGTCAGCGCTCGGGCTCGTCAGAACAAAGTGAACATGTAGGTCTGCTTGTGTTTACGGTAACATTTGCGTTCGGAGTGTGAGCCGCTTCTTGGTGGGTCACACGGCGGTGAATCATCCGTTTTCCGCTTCAGGTGAAGTAAAAGTTGTGAAAGTGCCCTGAAATTCTAAACTGACGGACAAGAAGCGGGTTCGGGTCCGGTTGTGGTCGGGTTCGTTGGTGTTTTTTGTTCTTGTCGGACCTGATTTAAGTCCCATGAAACAGTGAGGTTCCTGCTCAGCCCCACATGACTCCGGAGTTCCCCTCTCTGGGCACAAAGAGAGGCGGCGATGATGCAACAGCAGGCAACAACAACAGCCGGAGCTCCGCCGTGTTTCACCCGGAGCGCTTTCCCCTGCGCACAGCTGACTGGCTGCATGGCAACGCGCCGGCCAATCACAGCAGCGCCGCTAATTGGCTGCACGGAATAATAATCCGAGCAATTAACGCGTCAGATCGTCCAGAGGAGGAGGAGGAGGAGGAGAGGGGGCCTCCTGATGGATCCGGTTCGGCTCCTCCACAGAACAAACGGCAGATTCCTTCCTGGAGCTGCTGCGATTTTTAGCTCATTAATCAATTAGTTTATCTTGAGCAAAAATGGCGCAACTAAGGATCATTTTCAAAATTAATTAATTAGTTGTTTGTTTCAGATGCCCAGAGGGCGTCCTCACATGTCTTGTTTCATCCAAGACCCAAAGATCGAGGAAATATTCACATGTAAGGAGCTGGGATCACTTTTACTTTATAAAATGACTCAAATCGATGATTAAAAGAGCTGCTGCTTCATTTAATACCCGACAACTAATCGCTTAATGGTCGCAGCTCTGCTTTCTCGTGAGGATTTGATTCTTCCTTCTTCTGAAATGACGATGATATTCATTATTCTAGTACTCAGACGATTAAAGCTGCAACAATTAGTTGATTAATCAATTAGTTGTCAACTATTAAATGAAGCAGCAGCTATTTTGATAATCGATTTGAGTCATTTTGTACAGAAAAACTGATCCAGCTTCTTAAATGTGAATATGTCCTGGCGCAGAAGACTTCGTCTATCGGCCCAAGCCTTGTCCACGGTGCCAAAACCAGGAGGAAGAACGAGAAATCTTTTTTAGTTTATTTATTTAGTTTAGTTTATAAGAGAATTGAGGCAAACATATGTGATTTTGATTTTAAGGAAAATATCACTCGACTCGACGTCTGCAGATCCTCCAGACTAAATTAACGCTGTCTGCTCTTTTAGAACATTTATTTTCCTCTTGTTCAGGAAAACGTAAAGTCCAGAGTCTTCAGAAGTCTCGTTTTGTCCGACCAACACGTATTCAGTTTACACTGATGTGAAACAGCTGAACGATCAGTCTGTTCGTTGATTCGTCTGTTGAGTCATTTTTAAGCAGAAATTCAAAGTAAAAAAGTGTTTTTTTTTTGCTTCGCTACGTCTCATGGATCAAACAGTGTTCAGCAGACTGATCGGTGATGAGAGGAACTGTTAAGCGGTCGCCTGAGAGTTTCTGTTCTGATGTTAACGTTGTCGTCCTCTCCAGGCGCCACTGAGGTGAAGAATCTGTCCCCGTTTCATCTGCACACCTGAGGAGACTCAGAGACCAGCACCTGCAGGCAACCCCTCCAAATGAGCCGGCCGTCGCAGCCGAAACTAACCACAGCTGAGCACAACGGCGTGAGCGTCATCCAGAGTCAGGCCCACGCCAACGTCACCGCGTCCTCCTCGTCCCTGCAGCAGGTCCCCCAGCTCGTCCCCGCTAACCCTTCGGCCGGAGGCGGCAAGGCCCTCCCCCCGAGCAAGATGAAGAAGCCCCACGCGGACAAGGACAGCGACGAGTACCGCCAGCGGCGCGAACGCAACAACCTGGCGGTGAAGAAGAGCCGCATGCGCAGCAAGCAGAAGGCGATGGACACGCAGCAGCGCGTCAACGAGCTGAAGGAGGAGAACGAGCGGCTGGAGGCCAAGATCAAGCTGCTGAGCAAAGAGCTGAGCGTGCTCAAAGACCTCTTCCTGGAGCACGCCCACAACCTGGCCGACAACGTCCAGCCGCCCGCCGGCGCAGACGGCTCCAGCCCCGCCCCCACCAATGGGCAGTGAGGGGGGCGGGGCCACAGGAATGTTTGATTTCAGGGGCATTCGCCTGCTGCAGCTTTTCTGGAAACTTCTGTCACTCTTCACTTTGGAAACACGGCCTCGCGTCTTCTTCACTGCTTCTCTTTGGTTTCTCCTCTTTAATCTGTTAGTCAGGCAGTTAATAAAGTTTCCTGTGATTTTATTATTATTTTATTGAATTCAGTCAGTTTGACTATAAAGGCTTTTAAAGTAAAACAGTTCTAACTTCTAACATTCAGTTCTGGGACTTGATGTGATCCAACAGACCGGACTGTCATCATGTGATCGCTCACATCTTATTGATTGGTTGATTGGAGGAATGCGAGGACGTGTGAGCTCCTACAAACTGAGAGGTCGTCCAGAAGGATTCACGCCGAGTGGATCAGAGAAACTGGAGCCGCAGACGTCTGTAGGGCCCGAAACACTTCCTGTGGGCTCATTTAAGACAGACCCGGACTAAGCAGCTGCAGCGATGCAGGACGATGATGATGATGTAAATTCTTAAATTCCCTTTTTCAGGATGTTTTTTTCTTCTGTGGTTTTGAAAAGCGTCTCGTTAAGAAAACCTGGTGAGAGTTTTTAAGCTTGTTCGTACGACTTTCACTACATGTTGGTGTTTCATGGACGCTCCTGTTCCTCAGCCCGGGTCTGACTCGCACCCCGGACCCTGTCTCAGTGAGACCCGGGCTGGGAACAGGACTGTCATTCACTCAGTCCACGTCCACACTTTAATGTTGGTCTCCTGCAGAGAGGAGGGGGCGGGGCTTAATGTGACTACCTGGGTCTCTCTGTCATATCTGTGGCTGACGTGTCTGTGTGTGTAAATATGTTCACAGAATACAACTTAAAGATGTTTTATTATTATTATTATTATTATTATTAGAGCTTTAAATGTGTCTTCAATTCACTTTCATGTTTGAATTCAACGTGCTGCGTCTGATGATGTCATGATTTCCAGGTGATGCAGTTATTAATTATTCCTGATGAATCAATTCTTCATCTTTGATTGGTGATAAATCGTCTGGTTATTGATGACGTCTGTTTGGAGGAAACGACCACAGATATGATGTCAGACCGGGTTTGTGTTTTAAAAGAGATGTGCTGGAGTAACCTCTGAGTCTGACCCCGCCCAGCCCTCCACCTGGCGGGGCGTCACGGTCCAGACAGGCGTGTGTTTGTGGTGCTGGGCGGACCCAGACGCCTCGGAGGCATCGGGCGCTTCAGGCGAGCAGAGGCTTGAATTAAATCCAATCTTAAACCGGGTCCGGCCGTTAGCGCCTGCTAATGAGGTTGGAACAGATCGGGACAGGCCCCCCTGCCTGCCAGCACGCCACTGAGGGGGGGGCGTGTCTTCACCATGTTGTTGTCAGACTTTATAATTATGTGAGCTTAGTGCGGGCGTGGAGTGTTTTCCACAGGATTTGTCTGTCAGGAGTTTCACCTCCCTGCAGGAATGTTGTCTGTCTGAGTCCTGCTGCTCCCGAGCCCCTCAGCGTCCCCTCAGCGTCCCCTCAGCGTCCCCTCAGCTCCTATCAGGTGGGCACTTTGTAAACCAACGCTGATCGATTTGTTTTGAACTCCGTTAAGTTCTTTTTCTGCCAGTCTGCAGTCACAAACACGTGAAAACGTTAACAGCATATAGAGCAGGTTCATGTGTCTGTCTCTCAACACTACAATACCCATGAGCCTCGGCTGCTGTTGCTATGGTGAGGAAGCCGGTCAGACGGCGCTGCAGTTACTGACTTCATCCAGAGCGTGACCTGATTTAAACTGCGGCTCTCTGTTAGCTGAATGTCGAGCTGTGTGATGTTTGTCAGTGAAGTGCACCCTGGGAGTCGTAGTTCACTTTGCTTCTGTTGTGCAGGGTCCCTGTTGCTCTGTGTTTACAGACAAGCATCAGCTCCGATCACGTTTGCTTCGTTAGCGCAGGTTGAACCTGTGACGGGAACGTTGAGGGAACGTTCGCCGCAGTGGGCGCGGCCTGCGTCTTTTTCACTTTTCTATCGTTTGTTTTTCTACACTTTGATTCCAAAAAGCAGCATGTTTGTAGAGAACTCTTTGCATGGGGGGGGGGTGTCTGTTTCTGTGTTCTGCTTCGGTCTGAATGTTGCTGGGCAGCATTTCTGTCGTCACTCAGCTTTTTTATATCGGAGGAATCTGGGCTAACGTGCATTGTAAATTAAAATTGAGTATAAAAGTTCAACCGTGTCTGTTTTGTTTTTTTAATTCCAAATGATTTCTGTTAATGTGTCTAAAAAAAAAAAAAAAAAAAAAAAAAGCAGCACCATGTTCAAACCCCCACTTACATTAATATCTCTATTTATGCAAAACAACCATAAACTCAGCTGTTCTTTTATATTCATTTGTTCCTGAGGCTTCTTAAATCTCACGTTTTGCTCTTCAGGATCAATAATACATTTTACTGTTCAAAGCAACATTGGATTAGATCAACCTGATCCAGACACAGACCTTCAAAGATCACCGAATCCAGATTAGCAGCGCTCTAAATGGGACTACAGATCCCAGGCTGTTCGCTGTATAAAGAACAACAGCGAGATCAGCCGGCGTGGAGTCAGAAATCAGCAGAATAAAACAACACAAACACTAATATTTTTAATAACAGTCAGACCTCTATCGTCTGACCACAACAAATAAACAAAAACATGTACAACAAGTACAGTGTGGATATTTTAAACGTGTTTTAAATCCTAAAAAGGCAAAATGTCCAACAGTTAACAAAATAAAGAGCGTTCTTCATTAGTGAGCCAGCTTTCAGAAGGCCGTCTCATGCAGTGAGGGATGCAACTGTTCATCTGTGTCATTATAATTAATGTACGGTGAAAAGTGACAGAATTAAATACATTATGTTTGGGGGATTATTAAATTTAAAGGTTAAAAGGTGATTTGAACTTTATCACTGTAAAGTTTAAAGAAAATCAAGTGCTGAATATAAATAAATGTTTATATAAAGGCTCCTGCATGATACAGCTGTTATATTATTTGACCAATTTTAAAGTTTCAGTACATTTTGTTTCTAAAATCCAGCCTGAATCCGGACTTGTGTTGGGATCAGGATAATTCTGATGTTTTGGATCACAGGTTTCCCAGCCGAACTAAAAGGTTCAGACTGATCCAGATCAAAACCAGGACTGGATTAGTTGATCTGATCTGATGTCAGAATCCTTTTTATTCCTCTGAACAACTCATTTTCAAGATTGATCCAATCCGCTCAGATTGTGAACACCTGGGCTCAGGTGATGACGCGAGGCAGCCGCCTGCTGTCTGAGAGGAAGGAAGATGTTCAGACCGCAGAGGAGAGGTGGTCGTCACGGTAACAGCTGCAGGTGAGTCTGTCTGCAGGTCGAACTGAGCCGAAGTCACCGGTGAACAAACGGAGAGCAGCTGGACGGTAAACACAGAGCCACGCTACAGCAAACAGCAGCCGGCGCTCCGCTGCAGGCAGCAGCCAATCAGAGGCCGGTATTCAGGTCACTGAGGTTCACACTGGCCCTCAACCAGTTTTATTTAGGGAGCTGATTAAATGTAAACAGTGTTGGTTACGTTTATTACAGAATAAATGTAATCTGTTACAGATACTGGGACAGACTGTAATTAAATTACAGTTATGAAAATGGCAACGTTGGGAAGATATAAGAACAATACGTATCCAAACGAGGCGAAAGTCAAGGGCAGCTGACCTGGTTGAAGATTCAGAACTGAAGAAGGCTCTTGGATGAGGGACGAAACGTCTTCTAACCGAACCTTCAAGTGGCAAGAAACCATCGACCCTTCACAGACAAGAGTCCCCAAAAGTCTCCAATAACATCAGAAAGAGTCGCTAGACTTGTCGCTAAGAGTCACTGGAGGGGTCTGAAAACTCGCTAAATATTGCGACAAAGTCGCTAAGGTGGCAACACTGAATGCTGTTCTGATGCTTCTGATTGGTTCTCATGTTTGGATTTGCGGCGCCGTCCGTCTGCCAGTTAAAGAGCCTCTCAAACTGTCTTTAGAAAATGGTTCACTGTTTAAAAGATTCAGTAGACATTTAAAAACTAATTAAGTGTAATAAGTTACATTACTTTGATAAAGTAATTGAAATAGTTTTAAATAGTGGAACTTGTAATCGGTGACCTATTACATTTCCAAAGTAACCTTCCCAACTCTGAATGTGAATGTGGTGAATATAAGAAGGAGGATCTCTGTCCTCCTCTTTGGTCCAGACTGAAACATCTCAGCAGCTGTTGGATGGATTGTAATGAAGTTTTTTACTGAGGCCGGCGTCTTTTTTCAGTTCATTGTAATGGGAGCGCCGCGTTTTTACAACCTGGTAAAAATGGCAGCAGCGTGATGAGACGCTCTAGCGTTTTTTTTCCGGCCGCCAAGAGTTGAAAAATGTTCAGCTTTGGGAAAAACGCAGCGCTCATCACTGTCACTTTTTACCCAGCCGTCCAGTCACAGCGCAGGAGGGGCGGGACAAACACCACACCGAGCCATTTCAGTCTTGAACGATACGATGTGTCTACTCGCCGAGGTGTTTCCTCGCACGCAAAATCCCATGGACATACCTCTTTGGTATGTAGCCCCTGGTCTTTGCGTTTGCTTGTGTTCTGTTTTCTCAGTGTTTCCTGTTTTTCTAATATTTTTTATTTCTCTCATGTTTTAAACAGAAACAAATCTAAATCATTGCTCTGCAAATATTTCAGTGAACAGTCATCTCCATGTGAAGTGTGTGTGCGACAGACTGATAAGGCCTCTTGATTGATAAGCGGTTATCAGACTAAGCCAGCTGAATGTGCAGCTCGAGCGGCCTTGAAAACCAAACAGCGAGAGACGGACGTAATGATGGTGAATGATTGACACGATGACATCATGATCACCTGAGCTCACTAACTACCCGAGGGTTTTTTTGTGCCATTCATCATGTGTTACATCCAAAGGTCAGAAGGCAGAGCGAGCATGTCAGCTCACAGTGTGAAAGGTTTCCTGGCGAGCAGACAAACGTCTCCGCCTCACACAGAACGCTGGCTGCCCACGCAGAACCTGTCCTCCCACCTCCTCCTCCCATTGTTCCCATAATTACCAGCACTGTCAGAGCCGTCACGTCAGCGTCTAAAAATAAACCGGCTCAGTGTGTGCGTGGAGGCGGCCGTTCTCATCAGTCAGCTGAAAACTGGAACATCAGCTCTGTTTTCACTGCAGCTCAGAGGTTCACTGGCTGAGACTAAACCTGAACACTGAAACTTCAGCTGCATCTACAAAAACAAGGTCACCGTCTGCCTAAAGCCCAGTTCAGACCAAAGATTCACGACGTGGAGGCGAAACGGCTTTAGAGGGTTGCAGCAGTGTAAAGGGTCCCGTCTCTGCTCGGCTCGAGCCGTCGTACAACCTGTTCTCACTTCCATGTCGTCACATATGGATGCTAGGTCAAGACCCCTTTAGCATCATTGTTGAAAGCTAAAAGTAGGCCTCTTATGAAGAACAGAAAGGTCCGAGTAAGGAGGTGTGCGTGTCAAACCCTGGAGGCCGGTGTTCGTTTCCTGTGTAAAGCAAAAAGTCAACATTGATGGTTTTTAGTGGTGTTACATAAGTTCTGTAAGTTGCAGGGAGAGGAAGTGACTCTGCAGGATTGTTTGAACTCAACAGACAAACAAATAACCCCTCCCTTCAGGGCTCCCTCAGAAGCTCCGCCCCCAAAATTTCAAATCTCGGAGGTCTCTCCAGTATTGAAACACCTTCGCCTGGTCATTTATCTTTATTCTCGGTAAACTCGTCAGACCTTTCACTGTTTGTCTGTTTCTCAGCTATCTCTCCTTCTGCCGGTGTATAGAACTCTCAGCGCCACTGCGAACACAAACACCACCTGATGCTGATTGGCTGTTGTGGGGAAGGTTAACGCCACTTTATTTGTTTTTTTTTGCATAAACAAAACTGCAAACACAAAACGGAGAGCTGGCAAACTCTGAGGAAATGTTCCCTGAATTTAACAAAAAGTATGTTGGATTACAATCACTCACTCTCCTTTAAACTGTAAAGTCTAACAGGATGTTGCATATACATTCTTGATGTGTGTGAAGGTTCATCAGGCCATCCAGGTCACAGTTGTCACTGCTGTTATACCTCCCGGCTGTGGCTCAGGAGATAGAGCGGGTTGCCTGTTAATTGACAGAGCGCTTTGAGTGGTCACAAAGACTAGAAACAACCTATACAGAGCATTTAAATTTAGTTATCCAAGGAAAGTTAAAGTCAAGGGCAACTGGACTCCGTTGAAGACACTCAAAGACGTTTCATCTCTCATCCAAAGGGACTTCTTCAGTTCTGACTGACAGTCAGGGGGACTCAACGTCTTCAAGGACTAAACGTCAATGTCTAAAAGAGACACCAAGCATCCACATGTGATGAGCTGGGATGAGAATGTAAACTGGCAGTTTCTGGTCTCTTTCTGACTCTTTGGTCTGAACCGGCTTCAGTCTGAACCGGCTTCAGTCTTCACTGAAGCGCTCTGATGTGTAAATATACAAACAGACACATTCAACATGTCTGCTGGATCATTTTCTAATCCTCTTGTTCTGCTTTGATAACCGAGCTCCCTGTTCTGTTACATCCCTCCAGTCGCGTTGGCTGAAGCACGCAGTCAGAATGTGAGAAACAAAACTAGGAGCTCTTTTGACCTTCTTCCTACCATCTTAGTAAAAGCCTGCTTACCCTCTCACTCTTGCCAAATAACTACCATAATACATTCCTCTCTCACCTCTGGTATTGTTCCCTCGTCTCTCTATCAGCTGCAATAACTCCTATACTTAAGAAACCTGGTGCAGACCCCAACAATTTCAACAGCTTCCGTCCTATTTCTAACCTACCTTTTCTTTCTAAAATTCTTGAAAAAACAGTTGCATATCAGGTCCATGCACACATGTCTGAGAATAACCTCTATGAACAATTCCAATCTGGTTTCTGTCCCTGCCATAGCACAGAAACAGCTCTGGTAAAAATCAACAATGATCTTCTCGTGGTAGCTGATTCCAAACTACTAACTATTCTCATCCTTCTTGATCTGAGTGCAGCCTTTGGCACCATCTCTCATAACATCCTCCTTGACAGATTAGTCTCTATTAGTTTCACTGACACACCCTTGGACTGGTTTAAATCATATCTCTCTGGCCGCGCTCAGTTCATCCAACTCAAACATTTCAAATCGGAGCTATC